CATGGGTGAGTACATCGTACCTACACTATATCTCCACTCCCTATGCTATACTACTTCCCCTTACACCCACCCTCCGCACCATCCTCCCCTCACGCGTCCACATCTCCCAACTAACCACCCCTCCAGACAGCGGCTACAACAATTACAGCAGCACCTACAGCGGCGGCGGTGGCGGCGGCGGCGGCTTCATGCCTGGCGAGATGAACAACAGCCCATCCGGAGGAAAGGTACATTGCCCCCATCCCCCAACTACCTCATCCATCCCATCCCAAACTAAAACCAAATAAAAATCCCAGTCCGACTACGCCAACCAAACCCTCCGCCCAATAACCATCAAACAAGCACTCGACGCAATCCAACCATACCCGGAAGCGCCGTACCAAATCGACTCGGCCGAAATCTCCAGCATCTGCTTCATCGGCCAAGTGCGCAACATCAGCTCCCAAAGCACAAACGTCACATACAAGATCGACGACGGCACAGGCGAGATCGAGGCGAAGCAATGGATCGACTCCATGACGGCCGACACTATGGACACGGACGACGCAGCCAATCCCAAAGCTGCCCGCGGAAGGGACGGGAAAGTAGAGTTGAATGGCTACGCGAAGGTGTTTGGGAAGTTGAAGTCGTTTGGGAATAAGCGGTTTGTGGGTGCGCATTGCGTCCGACCGGTTCAGAGTCTTGATGAGGTGCATTGTCATCTGCTTGAGGCGAGTGCTGTGCATTTGTTCTTTACGAGGGGGGCGCCGGGTGCTGGTGCTGGTGCTGGTGGGGGTGGTGTGAAGGGAGGAGCAGGGGATGCGGCGATGGGTGGTACGGGAGATGAGTATGGGGCTGGTGTAGGGAAGAATCTGCCTCCGATGAGTCCTGTCGCGAAGAGAGTATATCAATTGTTGAGGACGGAGCCGCAGAGTAATGAGGGATTGCATGCGCAGTTGATTGCAGCGAAGCTGAGTTTGCCCATGCCGGATGTGGCCAGGGCTGGGGATGAGTTGCTCACTGCGGGTGTGATCTTTTCGACGGTGGATGAGCAGACGTGGGCGATTTTGGAGTTTTAAGTTAATGGTTTTTCCTTGTGTGGGTGGGTGAAAATAATTTGATATGATTATGGCATTTGTTTGATGCATGAATTCAGGATTGTTACTATTTACGTAGGATTATTTAAGGCATCATCTTGTACATTTACGAACTCCACTACTTCATATCATAATACATCACATCATCATCACATACTGGTATATATCAAGTCATCGCATTCCGCCGCAACGCATCCTCCACCGAGCGATGCCAATTCGTTTGCGTCAAGAAGAATGCCTCAATGATCGAGACCAACAACAAGGCCAATGCAACGCCAGACCACAATCCAAACAACCCCCAATTCAAACCGAACGTCGTGCCGAAACTAATCGGCATGGCAATGGCATAGTAGCAGAACAGCTGGACGTAGCCGCCGATTTCCTGACGGCCGATACCGCGCAGGATACCATTGCAGTTGGCAGCCAATGCATCGAACAATTGGAACGCGGCGCACAGAGGCAGGACCTGGGCGACGAGCTCAATTACCTCCTCGTCCGAGGTGAACAGGTAGGGGATGTAGTAGCGCAGGGAAGAGAGGAGGAGCATGTTCAGCAGACCGACGATGACGGCGCCGACCATGGATACCTTGGCGGACAGCTTGGCGGCATCGACGAGCGTCGCGCCGATGAGGTTGGCGACGCGGGTGCTACCGGAGATAGAGACGGGGAATGGGATTTGGAAGGTGATGCTGGAGATGGTGGACAGGACGGATTGGGCGGCCAATGGGGTAGTGCCGAGATACGATGACGCCAGGGTCAGGACTTCAAAGGCGAGACATTCGGCTTCGACCATGAGGAGCCCGGGAAGGGCGAGCTTGATCATGGGTCCCCAATTGCGTAGAGCGCGGGTGGTGACGCCGTTCCAGCATTCGGAGCCGTCGATGAAGTACACGTACAGGAAGAGGAAGAGAGGCATCAGGTTGTCTGTGATGGCTACGGCGATGGGAGCTCCGATGAAGCCCCAGCCGAACTGCCACACGAATACGTAGTTCATCACTGCATTCAACGGGGCACAGATGAGAAGAACATAAAGCGATGCAGAGAAGAGTCCCTGCGCCTGCACGAACCGCTTGCCACTTTCAAAGCAAGCGTACCCCGGAGCACCCAGCGCAACCACCTTCAGGTACAAGCCGGCCAGCATGGCGACCTCTTTTTCCGGCACGATCCGGATGAGAATCCGGTCGGCGAAGAACCACAGCACGATAATAGGGATAGAGATAGCCCAGAGGAAGAAGACCATCTTTTGCATCTGCAGACCTACCAGCTTCTTCCTGCCGGAGCCATATGCCTGCGCACACAGGGTATCCAAACTCGTCGCCAGACCTTGATAAACTGCACACAGTCAATCAGTATCAAACTGAAGACACACCCAGGGAATTGAACATACCAGCATAACCCGTAATACTCGCACTCATACTCGCCAAACTAACAGCCCCAAGCTCCTTCTTACCCAAATGGCCGAGCGTAAAAATACTCGCGACAGTCAACGAATACTGCAACAAAAAGGTAACCACCAAGGGCGCAGCATTCTTCCCAATGACCTGAGCTTCCCGTTTCCACGTCGTCTGAATCAACCCAGCAGTAACCGCCTCCTCCCACTTCCGATCAATCTCGTCCTGATCTTCCACCGTCTCATACTGCGATCCACGACGCTGCCCACCCAACAACGCAGCCGTCTCCGTCGCTTCCACGGGCTCTCCCCGTCTCATGCGCCCACCCTTCTGCACACCCGGCTCAATGCAACGATTATCAGTGAGCAGATTCCGCTCATCCTCAATTGCCCGTTCCCGTTCCCGCCGCGTCAACCCCTCGCTATCCGGCCGATGCGGCACAACCGTGGCATGCGAGACAGTCGTGAAGAACCCGGGCCGCTGGTACGACCCAGCTAGTGAATGGGGATTTGTGCCGGGTTGACTGTGAATGGCACGGATGGTGGAGGTCTCAGAGGCTTCGTCGTCAGTGGTGAGCATGGACCCTTCGTCGTCGGCGTAGTCTTCAATGTCGCGGGCAATTGCGGTGCGGGCGAGCGGCGAGCTGGATCTATACCGGCTGTGAAACTGCTCGTCTGTGATCCCGCGTATGCTGTTCCGGCGGGCCATTATGCGGAAATGGGTTCCACGGGGGAAGGAAGGTTGGTTGGTCTGCTGCTGGTGTGTATCACTGCAGTTGCAGGCATCCGTGCAATTGCACGGGAAGGACAGGGGGTGTGTATGTTGTGTGAGAGAGGAATTGGATCCAGCAGGAATGGGAAACAGCAGGAATTAATAGCAGGATTTAGTTAGACAGCAGGGAGAGAGGTTTTGTATGGGAGATGCGCAGGGATCCGGTAATCGCATTACGCAAGGAAGAAAAGCGCAGATTTTGCCGCTCAGGCCATGATGATCCACTCACTGTCTGGAGTTTCTACCAATTGAGTGAGTGAGTCATGGGTTGGTGTACTAATTCTCCAAGTTTTAACCGGATTGGGAATGCGCTAGTATGGATGATAGCGATACAAAATACGAAGTATAAGTTAAGTATAGCGATGTCTATACTGCACACCACTGAGAAGATATATCCCGGTAGAAGAAAAGAAGTAAGTATGAATGAACAACAAGAATTGCAATGATAGACCCCGCAAATGAACGGACCCCACGGTGGATGAAAGATGCCAGGAATGCAGTACGTACCAGTATTAGTTACTTACATACGACGGTAAAGATAGCCCCTCGGCCAATGATAAGACGCTATAACAATCCCAAACGAGCTGGTCCAGCCGAGACTTGAATCGCGGTGGATCAACAAACCAGACAAGCTGTGATGATCCATATCCACACAAGCTGTCTGATGGCAGATAGCAGATTGACAATGATATAGATCGTATATCTACAACTGATTGATAATAGTCTACCTACGCCGTATAATCGCATTGGCACATGTAATAGAAAAAGATCACGGGATCAACGAAAATGACATCATGTGGACACCGCATCACGTGTCTCCACATAGACCCTGTGCTTGTGCTTTATGTAGGCGCATTCATATAAGACATACACCGATATAGCATAGTTACTTATAGCTACGACTCCTACTAGGCTACTTTTAACTAAATTCATCCCATAAACCTCACCGTAGCTTCTTTCACATACTGCACACCACACACACACACACACACAACATTATCAATATACAACGACAAGAAGAACACCACCACCACCACCACCACCACCACCATGTCCACCACTACCCAACAACATCAACACCAAGAACCCCAAGAATCCCAAGAACAAGAAAACACCCACACCCTCCCCAAACCCCCCTACAACCCAATAATAAACCCTTCCAACACGCGCCCAATCCTCGCAGACGAGTAAGCTTTCATCTTCCTTCCATCCCCACCCCATACCTCCAAAACTAATAATTATCTCCCCAGACAAATCTCCCTAAAATCACACATCTTCCTAACCCGCCCGTACATCTCCACCCTCCTATTCGAAAACGCCACTTCCGATGCGCGCGACCACTGCGCCAACGAGCGGACCTTCCTCTCCTGGCTGCGTCTCTCAATGTACCTAGCCATCGTGGCCATCGCCATCATAATCAGTTTTCATTTCCAGACGCCGCCGACGGGGCTGGAGCGGCGGATGGCGTTACCGTTGGGGATTGTCTTCTGGGTATTGAGTATTGCGTGTCTGGTGAATGGGTTTGCGAATTATGTGCGCACGGTGAAGAAGTATAGTCGCAAGGCGGCGCTCGTGCAGAGTGGGTGGAAGACGCAGGTGACGTTTACGGTGGTCGGGACGGTGATTTTGGGGAGTTGTGTGTTGTTTTTGGCTACGGATGCTAGTACGAATTGATTTGATTGAGCATGTTTTTTTTTTTTTTAAGTTGGTTGGTTGGGGGGGAGGTGGTAGTAGTGGGATATGATTATAAACAAAGCTAAATGGACACTACACTCGATGGTATGTATGGAATAGGGCCATCAAACGCTGCAGGGAATCATGTCAGGGGATATATGTATGGTAAACCGTGTACAGGCTGCAGATGCAGAAAGATCTCAACTTTATCGTCATCGTCTTCGCCTCATTTACATCCGCCGGATCTGCTGCTCGTTCTTGTATCCCTCTAGCGACGCTGAGCCCAGGTGGCTCCACCATTCGAACAGCATCGAGTTGCAGATCAGCTTGAACCACGGCGTGAACTTCAGTCCTGGTTGCTCGAACATCTGCTTCAGCTCGTCCGCCGACACATACCGCGTGTCGCGCACTTCGTTGGGATTCACGTTCAAGTCGACGTCGGCCTGGATGAAAAGAATGTAGTCAACTGGGTATGGTTAGCCACCTGTCCAAAAGCTCATCACTGGTGTTGACATACTCTCGTGCTCTCCCCACTTGCCATCACTGGGCGCCTTGTAGTGGATGCGGGTGAAGAACTCGAACTTGTCCAGCGGCACCTGCTCCGGCTTGATACCCAATTCGTGTTCCAGCTTGCGCTGCGCCGCGCGCTTCACACCCAGCACGGCCGCATCGAGCTGCGAGCCAGTCTCTCCGGGGATGCCCAGGGGGTGGGAGCAGCAGGTGTTCGTCCACATGTCGGGGAAGGTGATCTTCTCGGTCGCACGTTGTTGAAGCAGCAGACGCTTGTTCGAGTCGAAGAGGAATACGGAAAAGGCACGGTGGAGGAGGCCGCGATCAATGTTGGTCATCAAGTGGCCTGTGGAGTCGCGCTATCAGCATGGACTCTCTTTCAATGCTGGGTGAAAAACGATAAACTTACAGGCCTTCTTGCTGGCACTGCCAATCGGCTTGTCATCGTCGTCCAGCACAATACACACCTCTTCCATCAGGCGGACCTGTTCCTCATCGTAACCGGCAAGCTCGTCGCCCGGGGCGGAGGCATTGCTTGTCGCAGTGGGGAGCACCTCCCGCGCAAGAGAAGTGTCAACCTCGGGGAAGAGAGTTGCGACGTTCTCAGCCGTGATTCTCGGCGGCTCAGTGACGGTAGTGGTGGCACTCATCCTGATGATTTGGCTGGAAGAGTGAAGAAATCGACTAGGCCTCCGGTGCTGTACAGAATGGGGCGAAAAGAGTGAAATCTTGGGGAGGGAGAACAACCCCCTCGATGTGGGGAGAACAGAGCGGGCGCCTGGGCGGTGGCAGAAAACCCATCGGGCGGCGCGGTTCATCATTTCCCTTTTGCAATTGGGTCATTCACTGCCCTATTGCTTATAATGTTCTTGTGCAGTCTACGGACAAACTGTTCAGGCTGGCGGCATAATTGCTTCGGAAAACAGGATACTCCGGCGCTCCCTCACTGGTATGTTGGAGCAGAATGCCAATCATGCGCTCAATGTCAGCCGAATACCCTGCCGTGGCATCTCCCTTTCCCTGGCCAGGTCTGCAAGCAGCTGGATTGAACGTCCGTCGGTACAGAGGCTAGAAAAGCAACCGCCCACTGGCTGTTCGCATCAGTCCAAAGCAGATCGAGGTGGACAGACAATGCATGTCCATGCCTGTCCATCCTGTTGAGACCAAACTTGATGGGGCTGACAGAGCTTCCGCGCTGTATGCCTGCCAACTATTACCAACAACTGTTCGTTGAGGCGCATTGCAGGCATGTTCTTCAGTCCGGCAGTTTCAGGCCTGCAGAGTCGGCATAGCATAGCCTCTTTGCCCACGCATATAGCTGCAGAACTTGGTGGGACATGGCCAGCCGCTCAACAGCGTCTACCAACCCGGTTAATTATTTTACTGAATCGGCCCCAATTGATCGGGGTGTCTCATTCCGTCGGGTCCTAGTTTCCCTGCTCATTGCTGGAGCCTGACACAACCTACCACTGGGGTCGAAAGCCGCGCAACAAGCACACTCGTAGTGTTAGACCATACCAACAGTGCAAACGGACTGTCTAGTGTCTTGGTATCCAGGTGGAAGTTGTCCGACAAGACAGCTCTTGTCGCTTAATCTTCATTGCTCTCTTCGGATCCGTCGGACGCGGACGTCCGATTAGTAGGTCGTAAACACTTTCGTCGCTAAACAACCAGCAAGGGCCAATAAGCGTCCAATGCACAAGGCGTCAGGATTGGTCCAGGCGTTAATCCCATCGTAGCCCCCATTCGTAGTAGTTGACTAGGCCGTGATTAATATGAGGATGGCTCGTTAGTGTATTGCCCCTTGATTTAGCAGCTTCGTTGGACCTGCTCCCGTGTCGGAGTTTGGAACGAAGCTATTCAGTACTGGGCGGAGTTAATTTCCACTCGCGCGCTTAGTTTCTGGTATCGAGAAAAATGGCGCCATTCATGATTCCCCGCCTTCAGCGACGGTCACTCCGACCACTAACTCAACCATTCTATGACTGCAATGCCGGAAAGTGGGCGCGTCAACCCAGATCATAAGGGAAAACTCGTCACACGTCACACAAAGAACGTCTGAACTTCTCTCAAGGCAGCAAAAGTCGCAAGCTATAAACCAACAGCGCAGTCGATCAAACATCCGAAGGGTCAAGGTATCCGTGCCGTGCGCTTGGCAGGATCAGTCCGTGTCGCGCTTGTTTGAACCTAAACCAGCTCGTTAGGGGTCTGGATTCTTCCATCCGATAAATCGAACCATAGCCGGTCGCAGAACCATCGGATGGGTGATGATATACGGAGACCTGGCTCCACTCGACTTAGAGTTGGAGCCATTGTGCGCAGATAAAAGTCACTTGCGCCGCGGGGATCACCGCGAAAGAGGAAGGACTCTCAGAGCATGTTCCAACTTCCGTGCCTTCAGTTAGTCCCGATGGGTCCGCTAGGAAGCCTTCCGACTTCCCCATAGTCCTCCAACCCAGAACGGTAATGGTTATCTCGATGGCGCACGACGATAGGTAGGCCTTGCTGACAACTCCCGCGGACGTATGGAGCATTCCTATTATCGTGTGTCTCTGGTCTTTCTTTGTGCTCAAGGGACCCGTTCCTCGCGCCGCTCCTTCATCGTTAAGTGGCCCGTCAACCCACTTATCCTGCCCCCCCATGTCCGATTCCGTTCCGTGTGGACTGGATTTTCGGCGTGTATTAAGTTTGTTAGGGCAATTAACGCAGCACTTGGCTCGTTCCTGGTGTGTCTAGCTGGTATAAGCTTCCGCGCTGCACCTTGTTAACGAGTCGTGCAAGACCGGAACATGTCCATGCTTCTCCGCTTCGTACTTTTTCCCCGACTAATGCCTAGCACGGCGATAATATTCGTCGATACTGACGCGCCATTGGGTGGTCCTTCATAGATAGCGAGATGGCATAGGATTGCGTGAATCAATAATGGAACAGCCGGCCTAGTAGCGCCTCTTCCGGGGCCCATCTCTTCCGACAATGGTCTTGTAACAGGTTCGGACCAAGAGGAATCGGGAAGTCCTCCCGATGATTTTGAAAGTGAGGCTTTATTCTGCAGGAGCAAGCAATGTGAATCGTCGTTTGCAACGCGCTTCTGTGAGCTCACTCTGGCCATGCGGCCTAAAGTCATGCTGCTGTTGGGTGGACCTAAACAAACGGTCCACTTTATGGTCCACAAAAGTAAGTTGTAAACAACTTGCAAGAATAATCAGAATAGCCCAAGAGACGGTAGAGGCACTTGTGGCGGCTAAAGTCTGTTAAACGAAAGGCATGGACCTGCCATGCGCTGCTTGATTTCTATAAGCCGCCTTTGGGTGACGACGGATCTCTAGCGATATTCCAAAAATATGCAAAACTAAAAGTCGACAAGGCCTCCCTGATGAGAAAATAAACAATCAAAACAAAAGCAAACTGCCTCCCTGCGCTTATACAAAGAAAACACAAAAAAAATACATGGGTAGTCATGCTTTCAAATATACAGTGGATCCTCTCCAAAAGTATGCAGCCGGATCATTCATGGCCAGCTGCGATCAACGCAGGCATGGTCTAGAGCAGGCAAATAAACCGTCAAATAGCTGTTTAGTGTGCGTAGTAGTCATGAGTGGGGTATGGCGCGTCTGTGTCGTTTCGGGAGGCTCGTGTCTTCCGGATTCTTCCATCGCAGCCGTCGGACTGATGTCTGTAGCAGAGTGAGTTCGTTGATTCACATTGGTGTTGGATCAAGATACGGTACCTTGACAATGTGTCCTGTCGACTGTAGCGCCGACCACACTTCTCACAGCCAAATTTGCGTATTCCCCGATGGATCTGCGCATTCTATTAGTAATGAACTTAGCTCTATCCGATGTGACTTACGCTATCTATGTGTCTCTTCAGGTCAGTCCTCCGCCTAAATTCCCGCCCGCAAGTCTCACACGGATGTGGCCTTACGTAGCTAGGGTCGTGGCTTTTCATATGCTCTTTACAGTTAGAGCGTCGTGTGAAGCGGACACCACACGTAGGACACTCTAAGCCGCTCGCCGACGGTATCCTGGATTGTTCTCCCTTGGGCGATTCGCTAACATTCTCGATCCACTTTGAGATTGCCTCATCAGGGACCAAATCCGGCGCAACATTTTTGTTCGGGTCCATCTCAGTTAGGGTGTTATCCGGTCGTTGAGGATGCAGATATGCGGTGTTGATCTGAAGTCGAGGGATCTCTGGCATTCTGGAGACCATCGTATTGGATGATTCATCCAGGAAAGACGATTCCCAGACGTCCTCTATCGGATCTTGCACGTTGGACCAGCCTTCTGACGCGGCCATGGTTTCGGAGGTAGGAGTGTTAGGCCAGAAGCGAGGTATTTCATCATGCATCGCGCCAAAATCCATGACCGGGCTGTAACTGGGTGATACTGAGATGTCTGCATGGCTACCGAATGCTTCGTAATGAGTCCTGGGCGGAAACTGACCGGCGTCTGGAGGGGTTTCGAGGATATTCGGGGAATGCGTTATTGGGTCGGACCAGTTGCTCGTTGAGAGTGCATATTGCTCTGGACACGGGTAGAGTCTGATCTGGCTTGAAGGGGATCCTGTTCCACAATTGGAAATTCCTAACCCGGACAACGACTGAAAATCGTATCTATCGAGGGGAATAGCCGTTGGGGATGGGTAGGCCGGAGAAGCTTTGAGTAACCTTTGGTCATCCCGCGCCGAGTGAGCCAAGGGAGAGGATGGGAACGAGGTAGGTGTACAATCCATGACGAAATTAAGAATTAATCACAAACAGAACAGAATTGGGGAAAGAAGAAAAATTTTTTCGGGGAAAGCTGCAACCAGGAGAAGGATGATTCGTGACGTTTTCTGGGTCGAAGGATCGCTTTTATGTTCACAAAACTCCCGCGACGTCCTGTGGCTGAAACTGGGGAAGGGCTGGTGGGAAGGCAACAATATTGGTGACTAGTAGATGCTATTCAAACGAGAGTGAGGAAGTTATTTGCAGTGTATATAAGTAGAAAAAGACTCAACAGCGACGCTGCTGGGAGATGAGACTAAGTGGCGAACCATGAACAGCAGCTGAAAAAAATATCTCGGGGGATGCCATATGATGATTGGAGTACAGCAACCGCTGCATGGGGCACAGGTAGAGAGAAGAAGAAGAGATGAGCAACAGGTTTGACGCCTCATCAGGCAAGGCAGAATTGACGGGACGTTGTTGCATGGATGGGAAAGAATTCAGAGCGAACCTAGCTGGAACAACCCGGTCCAAGTGGACTGCAGCCTGGGTCTGCAACATTATTCAGATAGGCGCGTCAATTAGATGCCATGCGCAAGAATTTAGCGCCGGAAGGGTGTGATCAGGCCAAGGTGTCAGTCGGCGCTGTACCCTGTCGCGAGGAGAGAGAGGGAGAGGGAGGGGGGTGTGGGTTGTGGATGGTGCATGGTTTGATTCACACCGGACGACGCCGTCATTTGTCGCCTAGCGGACATGACCGGGACCCAGCAGATCCATCAGCCAGGGATATCATGACATCTGAATGGTACAAACGTAGAAAGAAATGTAGGGAACCAGATAGTAGTGGTAATTGTAAATGTGTAGTGGGGGGGTGTGTGGTAGGAGACCCCGTTAGGTTAGGGGATGCAGTGCCTCTTGGGACAACAAGCATGGCGCTGGGGAAAAGACGGGCAACAATAGCGGCTGAATTATTGGCAGCATGGACGGGGGGAATGCCTGGCTTCCTGATCAGCAACAGTCGGCTGGAGCAGCGCGCTTTTTTTTCCCTTTTCTCCTGTTCTCCTGCTCTTAATGAAACGGGAATAGTAGGACCCGACAGTTTGGTACCTAGCTTGGCGAAGCAGCATTGCAGTGCGTGTCGCCAAAGCAGGCCGGTTGGCAACACTGCCTCATTATCGGCGAAGTAGTATGCATAAGCCAAAAATAATACCCAGTCAGGTACTGCGGTACATCAGAGCCTCAATGAAGGGTACCTGGAAGTAATAGAGAGAGTGGATGTGAGAAGAATGGGTGTTGTAAAACGTGGTGGTTGATATGGTTGCTGCGCGGGACGGAGTATACTAGTAGGACTAACAGTTAGCGAGGAGAGGAGGAGGAAGAAAAGAGAAGTAGTGAGGTTCGGTGGTTGAGGGAACGGCGGACTGACAGACCAGTGACAGCCAGGCTGTGGACGGAAGGGAGAGTGACCACTACTACTACTGTACCTACTACTTACTACCAACTAACTAACTGGGCAGGGCAGAAGAGGGGCTCCCGCCTCTAATCCTGGTCTTTACCAAAGGGTAGTATTGTACTAGAGACACTCTCTGGCTTTCCCACGACCATGGCAGTGGCCCAGTTTCCCTGTTACTAGTTACCTGCCGCTCACTCATGGTATCATTCGGTAATCCCCTGAAATTACTATTTTTTTTATTCTATCTACCTTTTTCCCCTTCTTTTATTTCTTTTTCTTGCTCTCTGCTGGCCTCGGTTCCTGATTGATTATTAGTCTACAGCCTTCCTTTGTTGTTATTTTTCCTGTTTCGAAAAAATTCACTGAGACCCATTTGTGGAACTAGTAGTAGGAACATCATTTAATTTCCATCTCGGAATCTATTCTATTTCTATCTGTAATAAAAGAGAACCAAAACAAAAAGAAAAAAATGAGAGAAAAAAAAAAAGATCGCTGAAGAAATACAACAGAATGACAAATTACAAACGACAATCGCCCAGTGCACTCCGTACAAAGAAGTTGTTCGTCGCTGGCGGGTCTCCAACTACTCCGTCCCTCCGACCTACGAAATGGTCACTGGCCGGTGCTCACGCTAATGCTTTAGGCTCTGGCACCGGCCTGACGCCAGGTGCGTGTGTATACCATCCTTCCGCTGTGGTCCCCTCCCCTCCTTCCATTCCTTCTGCCCTGCACCGTAATATACCACTTTCTGACACCTCTCCCGACTTTCTGTAATTACCCTCATTGGCTTCGCTGGTGAAAGGCCATCCGAGCAGCCACTCGATCCACTTGTGTGCGCAACCGTTCCACCTCGTCGATCATATCCGCGGTGTCACCACGCCCAGCCTGGCCCGAACTTGGTCCGCGCGCCTCGGGATGCTGGCCCGGGTTAGACCGTTCCTTAGGCCGGCTGGATGCCCACGAACGCCCTTCCAGTGCGGAGGCATGGAGCGGGGCATGGTGCGTGGAGAAAGGGAACCCCATCTGGATGGAGGATGTTGGTCGACTGCTTGTGGTGGTCGTGGCAGTTGGTGGAAATTGGCTATTTCCCCGAGAGACGTAGCGGCGGCTAGATTCATAGGCCCAGATCAGTGCGACAAACGGGAGGTGGGTGGCCCGGAGCAGAACGATGCGCACCCGGCGGATGTGCTCTGCAGGTAAGAAGAGCCTCATGGGGCGGATACAGAGGAGGGGAATGAGGTTCTGTCGTGGAGGCATGGCTGCTGTCAGCGACACCACCCAACCCGGTCATGCAGGGGCCAAAAATTAAGTATCGTGGGGGTTGTTTACTGACCAAGGGAGGCATGAAATACGTCAATCTCCGAGAATTACTGCTCTCGAGCACGTAGATAGACAGTCTATTGCCACACACACATCAGCGGGAGGAGCCGTAGGGCCGAAGGAAAGTAGTATGACACATACTGAAAGAGATACTCTTCTCGGGCATGCGCCATGACCTGGACGAAGGGCACAGTTGGGTAGACAGATTAGCATGGCTCATGCACAATAACATAACTAACAACAACAACATGTCGGAGGGGAGGCCGGGCAAGCCCCGCACCTAGTAGTAGTCGAAGTGATAGTATGATGTGGACAGTTGGAGCGACTTACCCCTTCCAGACTCATGCTCATGAGACTGACCAACGACGAGATCAACAGAAGGTTGGTCATCGAAACGAAAATCAACCTGTCGACCATACCAATCAGCCACTTTCCTGTAAGCACCGAAATTATTATGCCGGAATGATCGTCCGAATGCCGCCATTCGCGAGAACACGCGAGGCTTCATTTTACTCTGCGCCGCGACCGATTTGACGCCATGTGTTTCCGGGCGGCACCGGGTCTCCAGCCTCTAGGAACAGAACTGGGTCGCATCGCCTCAATGTCCCACAGAAGCATCAGGAGGAGAAAGGAAATGCATGGCTGGTAATCACGGTCGCAGGGCAGCTGGAAACACATCCAACGTGACCAAAAGTGTATGCGACCGACACATCTCATGGAGCCTGTGGCGCAGTAGAGGTCTGGGGATTGGAGAAGCACTCACATCAGACCGTAGCCAAAGATCGGGGAAATCTAAGAATTAGCGTGTCAGTAAAACTTTCCACGAGAGCCAACCGATTCTGCAAGACCCCTGGAAATTCGGGTTTGGGCTGCATGGCGGCCGCGCTGCTGCATTAGACTCACATCGTGAGCGATGTCCTTTTCCAATCATTTCAGCCACCGTCAGTTTGAAGAACACATGTTACCCGATTAGGAACAACGCACGAAGCCCAGCACATTCGATCTGCCTCGCTCTGTCAGTCAACTGGCGGTCGATGAGGGGCATTTTCACCGCCATACCCAAAGAACACTTTCACCAAAATCCATGACATTTGCCGCAGAGAGAGGCGGTCACGGGCGAGCATCGTGAAGGTGGTCAGGAACCCTGCAGATGCACATTTACCGCGCGTTGGCTTTCTTCGGCCTTGTCCTATGCGTCATCGGGGTCACCTACCAAGGTATAGCACTACGACTATCGGAATAAATCGAAAAAACGCTTTTGTCTAGAACCCTCTTATCAGCGTCTTTCGCCACCTGCCACCGTCTGGGCGAGCGGAGAAACTATACCATCTCCTTGAGAACAGGGATCTGTGCGTCGAAACTGTCAACGTGGCTTCCAGAACAGGGTTCTTCCGGGTCTACGCCGGCATGGATTGCCTTACCAGACTTCCAAAATAGGAGTTCAAACTCACAAGGGAGCAGATCCTGTTCAGCTCTTGTGTCAGAACCTGAAACAGGTATCAAGATCATCGGAGTAGGGGGCTTAGTCTTACCTTGGAACCAGGAACAAAGCCTCCAACGATAGAATATCAAACGACAGGTCTGTGATGTAATCACTTTGTTTGGCTAGTCCAATAATTCCTGGATAGTCGTGTAAGTCAACAATCGAACCACACTGCGGCCCGCTAAGTGAGCCCAGCTGCGGAAACAGGCCCAGCTGAAAGAGCTGAATGCGGACAAGGCAGATCTATAGCATGGTGTAAATGACTCACTGGCAATGACAAAGGCAAGGCCTGTGCCAATTATGCCCATATTCCAAGCGCTCCAGAAGTCCATCTGGTAGAAGAGCATTCCGGTATCAGCCATCCCGCTGACTTCATCGTATGCAAAGGCAGCGATCCAGATATACATCATAGTCTCAAAGATACCTATGCCAGTAGGCTTCCTCTCGACTAATACCGCATAATAGAGAAATAGAAACGAGACAAAGAAGGCCGCTTCAAAGGCCTTTCGATACACTGGCACTCTCAATCGGGAGTACGGATCGGCGGTTCTGCCAGACATGGATATCAGCATCTGGCAACCAGGTCAGGTAGCGCAGAGGCGGGTTACCTTTTGTTGAAAAATTGGGGTTTCTTCTTTGAATGTACGCTCAAAGAGTCCCAGAAAACAATCTCGCCCTTCCAGATATTGTCTATTACTTTCTGAACCACCTTCTGGCTCAGAAATCTTTTGGCGTGGGCGATTGTGGCTATCTCGAGTGCGTTCAGCCCAAAAAACCTTGACAGCTTCTCAAGCTCATATGCGTCACTTGCAGACATGTTGGATCCCGGCTCATTGATGTCAAGCGAACTTCCTGCACGTCTCTTGCCACCAAAGAACCGATACAGCGATGATGACGAGCTTAATAATAAGGGTGTCCTTTCGTCCTCTTGCGGAAAGGCCTCGCTGCCCATCGTCGCGAACCCAGATGTGCCTCTTTCTGCCTGTGAGATATCCATGCCGCCCTGCATTGGGGTTTTGAGTTCCTCAAGAAGGAACTCGATGGTCTCGCGCTGATTGACATGACAGAGGAACTGCCACGCAACGTATTCACAGGCATATCCCCGGCTTTCATTCAAGCCCCAGTCGGTTTCAGCATCATTGGTAAATTGCCATTTTAAGATCCTAAGGTATGTCTTAGCACCACCCAGCTGTCGGGAGAGTCTACTTACATCAAAGCGGCGATTATACATGGATTGTGCGAATTTTCAGCCAAGGAATACAGGAGCAACCGGAGACTTTGCGCATGAGGAGAGAACCTTAGCTCTTCAAAGGTGCATGCGACATCATTTATAGCGATGACCAAATAGCTAAGTGGTAAATGTTAACTAAGCGAATCTTTCAAATGGGTATACTTGGGCCAGCTGTACTTGTGTAGTTTTCGAACCACATCAACGAGCGGCTCATTGTCATCAATAATAGGAACCTCAAATGGTGGCTGTTCAGCGGGTGCAATCGATGAAGTAGAGGATTCCAGCCTCAGGGAAGCCATGTGGTGGGAGAATCGATTGACCTGCATAGGAGATCAGCGGGTCACGCCAACATGACGCGAGTGTGGAGAGGCCACAAAAACAGTACCTGAACACGTCCCAGACAAGATTTTGATGTCTGCAAGGAATCTGTTTTGAAGGAGTGCAGAGTCCGATGATATGTCGGTGAGCCACGTCCACAGCTGATGCTAACTTTAGTTACTAGGAGCTAGTGACGGGTACTAAATAACTATCCGAGCAGGTGCTCAAAGGAAGGTTGAGGTTATTCGAAATCTTGCCAGCAGAGACGTCGGAAGAATTTGGTCAAGAACAGGTGAATAGTCACACAACAGTACGATGCAGCTGGTAGAATAAGGTGCGATGATAAATACGAGTGCGTGAAAGCCACCAGCTAGCTGTACAGCTCGCTATCAGCACAATAATGGGGCCAATGTTCTTTATGAGGGTACTCAGCACTGTGATTGGCTGCAGTGCTTGGTGCCAACCGGCAGGCAAAACAAGCTTCGACACTCTAGCACCGCATCATTGTATGGTGGTCACCGAATCAGATGGGGGGAATTGCCAGCACATTAGTGCCTGAACTCGCAATGCCAGAGGTTGAAACATCCAGGAGTTCGCGGTAATTGGATGAATAGGGAGGAGATTCCCGTGTTTGCGGTGGTGGATCGCCACCTGTCAATTCATCAAATGATCTGTCCGGATAGATAGTACGATACACCAGAAGTTCTTAGATAATCAAATAGCTAATCGTGCTCGATTTGCTGCTTTATAATTCTGTGCACAGTGATTGATAAAGTTATATTCTCCCGGGGATGAGCTTCAATTTTGTTTCTACTTCCATCTTTCCAGTAGCAGCAGCAGTCATTACCTGCAGGTCCCCTTGAGGCTCCTTCAGGCTCCCAAATGTTGCAGACTCACCGCCTTCCCCGGCATCATGTGACTGATATGCACTATCGGACCCCCTCCAGACGCGTTGGACTGACTTCATCCTGCGACATCCTCCGATCATTTATTTGAGCCTTGTGCCGGGATGATCCAACGCCGTAGATCGGTCGATCGGCTTACCTCTTTGGTATTTAATGGCAGATGCCACATATAATCTACAAACTCAAAGCCTCATGAGATGAAGGCACTTCAACACCATGGGCCAAGGCTATTCCCTCACAACCCTGTCCGCGGGTTCGGCTGGGATCGATGTCCCCGAGCTTGCGGATCTGGTGTATGAAAAGTCGATGGGTGGTGGTCGATTCATGAAAAGTATTCGAGCAAGGCAGCATAATGGACTAGTCTTTGTAAAGGTAATCATGAAGCCTTATCCCAGCATGAAGCTGGAACCATATATCAAAGCTATTCTCCGTAAGTTCCATGAGCATCCAGTCGGATCTTCAGAATGATATCTGACAATCAATTCAGGGGAGCGCAAACTACTGTCTGAGGTTCCGAATGCGTTGAGCTATCAGAGGATATTGGAAACCAGCACTGGCGGTTACCTCGTCCGCCAATACATACACAGCTCTCTCTATGACCGGATGAGGTATGTAACCCAGATAGAATCGGTTTGGACTCCCTCTAATACTATGTAGTACCCGTCCATTTCCAGAAGATATTGAAAAGAAATGGATCGCTTTTCAGTTGCTCTGCGCATTGAGGGATTGCCATTCGCTGGATGTCTTTCATGGCGATATCAAAACAGAGAATGTTTTGGTCACCTCGTGGAACTGGCTCTATCTGTCCGACTTTTCCTCGTCTTTCAAACCAACATTTCTTCCAGAAGACAATCCGGCTGATTTCTCTTTCTACTTCGACACGTCAGGGCGCCGAACCTGCTATCTGGCGCCCGAAAGGTTTCTCGTGGCTGGCGAAGAACCAGGTAGTAGGGAAGTCAACTGGGCTATGGACATTTTCAGTGCAGGCTGCGTCATCGCGGAGCTTTTTCTGGAGTCGCCTATATTCACTCTGAGCCAAATCTACAAGTACCGCAAGGGAGAATACAGTCCGGAACATGGTCAACTCTCCAAGATTGAGGACCCTGAGATTCGCGCGTTGATCCTCCATATGATTCAGCTCGAGCCAGAGTCTAGGTACTCGGCTGAAGAGTATCTGAACTTCTGGAAGAACAAGGCGTTCCCTGACTATTTCTACAGCTTCTTACACCAGTACATGTCTCTGATGACTGATCCGTCCTCAGGCAGAGCGCATGTTGAAACCGACTCAGCAAATAGAGGGGAGGCTGATGAGAGAATCGAGCGAGTATTCCATGACTTCGATAAGATATCGTACTTTCTGGGGGCTTCGCCGAAGGCTTCGACAGATGGTTCTAGTCGCACTACCTCCAGGCTAACCGGCAATACCTTCCCCGTTCAACTGGACCTACCACAATACGGACAACCAACTCCCAAATCTCCAGCTCAGTCGGATGACGGCGTACTGATCTTTCTGACGCTTGTGGTATCTAATTTGCGCAATACTTCGAAATCTTCCGCACGCATTAAAGCTTGTGACGTTCTCCTTGCCTTTGCCGAGAGATTGTCCGACGAGGCTAAGTTGGATCGCGTTCTTCCATACATCATGATACTTCTCAATGACCGCGCAGACTCCGTCAAGGTCGCTGCGATACGTGCTCTTGCACAGTTATTGGAAATGGTCCACGTGGTCTCGCCGGTCAACGCATACTTATTTTCCGAGTACATCTTCCCGAGACTACAACCGTTCGTTCCTAGCGGCAATTCGAACCCGAGTCCTTTGGTTCGGGCGGCATATGCTTCATGCATTGCATCTCTGGCACGATCTTCCTTGAGGTTCCTAGATATGATCCAGGCACTACGATCCGACACCCGCTTGCCCGCTTTGATACCGGCTGGATCTGAACCTAGGTGGACAGAAGATGCTACCTATCACAATCTATATGACGTTGCGAGAGTCGACCTTCTCGAGTATTTTGAGGCTCACACTAAAGCTTTGTTGACCGACAGCGACGCTTCGGTCCGCCGCGCCTTTCTAGGGTCTGTATCCGACCTCTGTGTGTTCTTTGGCAATCTTAAAACCAGTGAGGTTGTTTTGAGCCACCTAAACACCTATCTGAATGACAGGGACTGGATCCTGAAGTGTGCTTTTTTTGAGGCGGTCATTGGCGTTGCAATCTACGTCGGAAGTACAAGCTTGGAGCAGTACATTTTGCCTTTGATGGTCCAATCAATGACGGACCCGGAAGAGTTTGTTGTTGAAAGGGTTCTTCGGTCGCTAGCAGTGATGGCAGATATGGGTCTTTTCCAACGGTCTACCACGTGGGATCTTCTGCATATCACTGTCCGATTCCTCGTGCATCCGAACGCTTGGATTCGCGAAGCAGCAGTCCATCTTGTAGTCAGTTCAACCAAGTTCCTCTCCGTCGCCGATAAGTTTTGCATCCTCGCCCCTCTCGTGCAGCCGTTCGTGATAGCAGAGATAATGAACTTTTCCGAGGGAGAGATGCTTGACGCACTCAAGAAGCCACTGTCAAGGGGCGTATACGATCTAGCATTTGTTTGGGTATCGAAGACTGAGAAGGGTATCTTCTGGAAAGCAGCAAGCCGTGATGGAATATTCACCTTGAATGGAACTGATAGTTCGCTCACAAAGTTGGGACACAAAGCCTCCACTCATCCCAGCCTGCAGCCCAAGAACGAGGAGGACGAGCAGTGGATCGCCCGTCTGAGAAATATGGGAATGAACCATGATGATGAGTCTAAACTTCTGGCCCTTCGGGAGTACATATGGAGAGTGTCGATGCGTCAGCCAAGAGATTCGGAGAATGGAATCTCTGATTTGAACAATGTCATTGCTCTAATGCAGCACGGGGTGACTCCTCAAACAGTGTTCTTTGACAAGACTCAGAACATCAAGCCACGTAGAAGTTCTATCGGCAAGACTGAAAACGATAGATCTGACGAGCGGAAATTGCATACTATTACGGATGCTCTACTTGACGCTTCAACAACCATTGATAACAGACCCGAATCACGCCGGAGACATATGCGCTCACGGAGTCAAAGGGACCCGGGAGCTGCCCTAACAATCCCACGACCGAGTGCCTTGGATAACATCAGGGCAGAGAATTCGCCGATATCCTCACCGATAGCATCATCACCTGGTGCAGCGCCCGGCTCACGGCCTTTGTCACCTCCTAGCTCAGATGCTGGACGTAGGGGCTCAGGAGGTAGGGACAGTCCCGGACATGACAGTTCATCGACACCTACGGATGCGGAAAATCCTGCAATTAGGAAGTTGGCCTCCGGCGTGCAGCGTAAGTCCAGTGCTATGAGCTTACTTAACCGCAAGGATTCAGCCAAGGCATACGCAGAGACTGGAACCAGCTCGGCCAACGCCTTTGGAAAGGTTGATTTGCCATCTCAAAGAGCAGAGGTGTCTTCTTCTCCCTCACCCGTACCGCATGATAGGAAATCACCTGAGCAGGGGCCCCCCAGATTCCACGCCAATCACTCCTATGCAGGCGACGATCCTGTCGTCCTCAAACTTTTAGATTCCGTGTTTGCGGAAAACTATCCTACCGACTTCTTTGATCTAGGGCCCTATGTCAAGGAGATAGACGTAAGGCGTCCGATTGTGAAGGCCAATGGGCAAGAGCCTGACAAAGTGTGGAAACCGAATGGAGGTCTTGTAGCCGTTTTTGGGGAACACAGTGGCCCTGTGAACCGCGTGGTTGTGGCACCAGACCATGCTTTCTTCGTTACTGCTGCGGACGACGGCACCGCTAAGATCTGGGATACGACTCGTCTTGAGAAGAATCTTACACCGAAATCCCGCCAAACATACCGCCATTCCACCGAAGCGAAATTGAAGGCGTTGACTTTCGTTGAGAACACTCACACTTTCGTCACCGGCGCAAATGACGGCAGTATCCATGCAGTGAAGGTTGATTATCATAATGCCAACGGCACCGTTCGCTATGGGAAACTCCAACTTGTGCGCGAATACCAGCTACCAACAGCTGAAGATGGAACCG